TAGCCTTTTTAGAAGTACAGTTCCAACTGATGGAAGTTGTAGAACAAAAAGATAAGGTGGCTATAAAAATTAAAGCAAATCGAAATAACTCAGTGTCATCGGCTGTAACAGTTTCTAAAGGAAACAACAATTGCAAACTGTGCAATGTAGACAGGCACCCACTGTATTATTGCCGTAAATTTTTGCAATTTTCACCATCTCAACGATTGGATTGGGTGAAAAATCAACAGCTCTGTTTTAACTGTTTCAGAAATGATCATGTGGTGAACAAATGTTCATCAAGAAGTTGTACCAAATGTAATAAAAAGCATAACACGTTGCTACATTTGGAAGTTACAAAACAGAACATTCAACCTAGCTCAAGTGGGTACAACACCGCAGTTACCACAGCGACAGCAAACACATCCACAGGTCATCGTGATTATGTTCTCTTGCCAACTGCAAGAGTCAAAATAACTGCATCGAATGGAAATACAAGTGAAGTCCGAGCATTACTAGACTCTGGTTCGCAAGTGAACATAGTCTCTGAGCGTCTTGTCAAAAGGCTCAGTATATCAAAAACAAAATCGTTATTGTGCATAGAAGGTATAGGAAAGGTGCAAAAAAATTCAACGCAGCGAGTTAACATCAAATTGCAATCACTTAACTCAAGGTTTACTACAGAAGTCGAAGCGTTTGTGCTTCCAAATATAGTTCCACCTCAACCAAGTTGCAGCTACGATATTTCCAAATGGAAGGTCCCGAACACCATTCAGTTAGCAGATCCAACATTTTTCCAACAAGGGAAAATTGATATTTTACTCGGTGCGGAGTTCTATTTTAGTCTGTTAAAGAAAGGTAAATTAACGCTTGCTCCTGGGCTGCCAGTCTTGCAAAATTCTACACTTGGCTGGATTGTCAGTGGCAAGGTTGCATCAAATACAGACAAATCAAACGTTTTATGTGCAGTTTTTGGCGGTGGGGCGGAGGTTGTTGATAATAACTCATCGTTAGAAGATGCAATTGAACGATTATGGCGAATGGATGAGGTGAATACAACAGAAAGGACATTATCCAAAGAAGAAAAATTATGCGAATCTCATTTTGTGCAGAACGTCCATACAAATAAAGAAGGACGTTTTGTGGTAAGGTTGCCGTTTCTGGAAAACTCATTGACGTTAGGGGAATCTCAAGAAACAGCTTGGAGAAGGTTCATCAGTCTTGAACGACGACTAGCAAAAAATGATGTTTTGCGGAAACAATATGTCCAGTTTATGGAAGAGTATGAGCGATTGGGTCACATGACTGAAGTAAACTTGGATTCCATGTTGACTCCAAGATATTTCATTCCTCATCATTGTGTACTAAAACCAGATAGTACAACTACTAAACTTCGAGTGGTGTTTGACGCATCCGCCAAAACTACATCTGGACACTCGTTGAATGATTTAATGTATAACGGACCGACAGTTCAAAGTGAACTCTTTTCAATTCTGCTCCGTTTTAGGCGACCACGGTTTGTTTTCACCACAGATATCGAGAAAATGTATCGTCAAGTTTTGATAAATCCTGAAGATCGGCGTTATCAACTTATCATTTGGAGAAGCAGTCCAAATTCTCCGATTCGTTATTACCAGCTAAACACAATTACATATGGAACTCGAGCAGCTCCTTACCTAGCAACAAGATGTCTGCAAAAGATAGCATCAGAAAACAAGGTGAATTATCCATTGGGAGCTCAAATCCTGTGTGACAATTTCTACGTTGACGATGGACTCGGTGGATCAGATAGTTTAATTACGGCTATTGAAGCTCAAAGGCAATTAATCCATATTTTAAAGAAACATCAGTTTTATCTACGGAAATGGAGTGCAAACCATCCTCAACTTTTGAAAAACATTTCTCAAGATGATCAAGAGGTAAATCTAGATTTTACTAATGATAATAACGAGTCAATCAAAACGCTGGGATTATTTTGGTTGCCCAAAGCGGATTTATTTGGAATTAAGGTCAAAATGGTTACTGAAGGTATAATCACGAAGAGAGTCGTTAGTTCTGATTTAGCTAGACTGTTCGACCCACTTGGGTTATTAGCTCCAGTAATAGTCAAAGCAAAGATTTTCATACAACACTTATGGCAGTTGAAATTATCTTGGGATGAACCACTTCCTACAGATCTTTGTACAACATGGTCAACATTCAGAGAAAACTTAAGTACTCTTGAAAATCTTCAGGTGGCAAGACATATCTTCAGAGGCGAGGTTCCATCATCAACACAGCTACATATTTTTGCTGACGCATCTGAAAAGGCATTTGGCGCTGCAGCATATGTCAGAGCAATTTTAAAAGATGGTAGAATAATAGTGCGACTGTTATGTGCAAAGTCAAGAGTAGCACCACTCAAAAAACAAACGCTACCGCGACTAGAATTATGTGCGGCAGTCTTAGCAGCGGAACTCTCAGCAAGAGTGAAAAGCGATCTTCAAGAGAAGGACCAGCCGGTATTTTTGTGGACTGATTCAGAAATTGTGTTGTCTTGGATCAACTCACAGTCCTCATCATTTCAAACATTTGTAGCTAACAGGGTGGCAAGAATTCAAACTTTAACTCTGTCTGAACAGTGGCGACATGTTAGGTCAAAGGACAACCCAGCTGATGTGTTATCAAGAGGACTTTCAGCAAGGGCGTTGTCAACATGTGCACTTTGGTTTCAAGGACCGTTCTTTTTGCATGGAAGGCAGGAAGTATGGCCACCAAGGTTTTCATCATCATTACAAGTTCCAGTCGATCTGGAGAAGAAGAAGGTTGTAGCTGTAGCAACTCAAAGCAATGACGCAGATTTCATATACAGGATTCAGCACAAGAATTCATTTAAGACGTTACAAAAGATAATAGCATATGTTCTTAGATTCACTAACAACGCAAGAAAATCAAAGGAGTCACGTGCCACACATATAGTACTTAGTGCCAACGAATTGGATGCAGCATTAATAACTATAATATTTCACATTCAGGGTAATGATTTTCATGAAGAAATCAAACAACTGAAGAAACAAGGTCATGTTGATAAATCTAGTTCAATCAGTAGTTTATCTCCATTCATTGATAATGCAAATGTTCTTAGAGTAGGAGGACGCTTAGAAGCCTCATCATTACCATACGATTCTAAACACCCAATGCTGATCCCATACAATGATCCATTGGCAAAATTATTATTCGTGATGTTCCATGAAGAAAACAAACACTGTGGCCCACAGGCACTATTGAGTACAGTCCGACAACGTTTTTGGCCGATTAAAGGTAAATCAACAGCCCGAGCAACAGTTCAGCGATGCATTCGATGCAACAAAGCACGTCCGCAACTATGCCAACAAATTATGGGCAATTTACCAGAATCAAGAATAACTCCTGCAAGACCCTTTATTAATGCTGGTGTAGATTATTGCGGACCATTTTGGATCCACTACAAGGTGAGGGGCAAAAAGCCAACAAAGGCATATATTGCTGTCTTTTGTTGCTTTTCTACAAAGGCGGTACATCTCGAGTTAGTGACCGACTTATCAACAAATGCTTTCATTGGAGCATTAAAACGATTTATAAGTCGACGAGGGCGTTGTTTGAATATTTACAGTGATAACGCAACAAACTTCGTAGGCGCCAAAAACCAGTTAGCAGAATTAGAAGAAAGCATTTATTCTAATGAAGGACAAGAAGCAATAATCTCTGCCTGCAGTACCACAGGAATAAACTTTCATTTTATTCCACCAAGGGCTCCACACTTTGGCGGTTTATGGGAAGCATCCGTAAAGTC